TCAACATTAAAAACATCAGTTCATTAAAACCAGCGAGTCTGTGCGTGGAAGCGTCGCGCGAATGACGAGTAACTGAAGGATGCGCGGATTATCGGACAAGATTCAAGCTCTCCGTCTATCCATGTTCCTCCAGAGGAAAATATAAAAACATCCAGATGTTGTATGTATGTGTGTGTGTGTGTGTGTGTGTGGTGCTGAGGGTCTCACCTGTTGCTGCGCGGCACCTCTCCGTCCCTCCAGCTGTGCGTAACGGGCGCAGAGCTGCTGACTCCGGGTTTTGGGGAGCTACAAGGGCGCACCGCATGTCGGGGCTGGAGCGAGGCTCAGCATAATGCTAAGAGGATTAACACATCTCACCTTCCCTTCCACACAGTGGAACCCAGTATCAATACGCCAACATTCACAGTGAGGAGCCGGGGGGGGGGGGGGGGGGGGGGGGGGGGGACGTGGCGCAGGGGAGCGACACTGACAGGAGGAGTCAGGTCTGGATTTGGGGAGTGGTCGGCGTGAAGCCTCATTTGTAGTTTTTAATCTTATTATTAAGATTTGAAACATGCACGTGAGGTGCACTTAGGTTTAGAACCTGAGTGAAATGAGTAAGAACAAGTTTTCATGCAAGTTGTTTTAGTTGAAAGTGACAGTGTTTTTGCCTGAACAGAGGATTTGGTGAAGATGAATCACTGTGTAACAATGAGCGGAAATGTTCAATCATTTCCAGTAACTTCCCTCATTTAATAACCGAATAACTACATTTACAAAACAATTCAAATGAAACAACCGAAAATAAATCACCTCAAAAGAAACTTCCTTCATCCAGTCTGAGCCCCTGTTCACCCGAGTTGGACAGAGATGTTGGAAATGTCCAATAAAGGACATAAAGGTTTAGTTGTCCCGCCCTAACAGATAAAACAAATCTAATAGAAGAGTGATGGAGATGTCAGGAGGAAACCACAGAACCTTCTACCTTCATCACACCGATTCAAATATTGTTTAAGAAAAAGATCCTGGAAAAAGTTACTGACCTGAACCAGAGCAGATATCAAACCTTAACCCCAGAATGGAAATTAAATAAATATCCAGAAGAAGATGATTGAAACAGAGCTTGAATAAGCTTGAATCAAATCCTGGATGATGCTCATTAGGTGCATTCATTTCTGCTGATCTCAATCCCTCACACCAGACGTTTAAAAGAATCCCTCATGAATGTGTCTAAATCTCTACAATAATCTGATGAGCACAAACTGGCGAGAACAAACCGAAAAACATTCCTTCAACCATTTCTGAAAAGAAAAAACAACCCGACTCCGAAATGAGAATTCTGAAGTTTATTTATTTTGTCAGGAAACCATAATTGTGACTTCAAATCAAGCGCAGTGTGTGTCGGCCTCACATCCTCCAACAAAAACGACTCAGACATAAATGAGTTCACAGAAATAAATAAAAACAAATACAGCGAATGCTCAGAGATGAAAATTACACAAAACACAAACATAAAAAAAAGGAACAAAAATCAAGCCACTCAGGTTTTGAACAGACGGTTAAATAATGAAAACGTTGGGGTGGACGGCTCGTTAACAATCCTAAAATATATTTTAATAAACACAATATGGTTAATGATTAATCAACTGTGTTTTCATGCAAAAGTATCTGAAGTGTTTTCTCCCTGGACAAATAAATGAGAAAAGGCAAGAAACAGGGAAACGGCTGCTTCGTCTTTAAGTTGACTGAAGTTCAGAGTGTGTGCAAAGTTAAGGTGCTGATGGGTTAGTGGACTTTCCTTTTCCTCGAGCGGTATCGTCTCCTCCGCTGCTTGTAGAGGTGTCGGAAGTTGATGAAGAGTCCTGGAGAGGAGAGGGAACCTTGGTCATTATTTAATCAACAGGTTAGATGAAATGTTTGAGTCATTGGTTGACAGCTCTCCTTACTACTAGCAACACTGCCCCCAAACGATTTCCAGTGGTACTGCTACCAGTTTTGTCTGTGAGCTTTCAGAAGACGAGCCAACAACGAATCTAACATTAGGTGTAAATGAGCCTTTAGACGTGATTAACAGGTGGGACTCCACAATACCATCACCATCTTTATTCACAGTCCATGGAGGATGAATCAGAGTGCATTGTGGTATGTCAGTGGATGTCTCACCCAAAAACATGAAGACCAGGTAGAGCTGTAGAGTGTAGGAGAAGCTCAAAGATCCTCCCAGCACTGCAGGGAGTGTGACGCTGAACAGACGGGTCTCATCAAAGATGGGCAGGGACTGGATCACAGCCACCGCTGGCAGACGGTAAAGAACGACACGCTGTCAACAACAACCAACAACGACGACAGCCACCATTTTATCGGTACACGTAAAAACCACCAACCTTCAGCTACGACGCCCAGCGGGTACAGAGGGATCCAGAGGCTGTATCTCAGCCACGTTAACAACTTCCAGTCCGTGCCGATGCACGCCAGCATGTAGAACGGGTACCTGGTGTCAGAGAGGGAGGGTCTGATGTTACGGCCGGAAAAGCAAAACACGTGCCACAGAGGAAAGAGGAGAGGAAGGTGATCTGAGCTGACCTGAAGATCTCTATGGTGCTCCACAGGTAGAAGACGAAGAACACCACGGGCTTGTTCTGCATCTCCTCCAGAGCGCCGAAGATAACGAACAGAATGACGTTCCTCCCCGCCACCTGCAGCAACGAAAAGCAGAATAAAAGAAGATGTCAGATGAACCTCAGTGTGAAACTAGAGTCATCGTAGTAGCAGACAGATTCATGATTTTTCACCATTTACAGTAAATGTGTGTTCCCGCTGTATTTACCTGTATCATAGCAGGAAAGAACGCTGACTTCACGAAGCCCAACAAGGGATTAATGACCTCGAGCGCGGCCATCATCTGACAGAAATACATCATGTCAGCCATGGTGTGGAAAGTATCGTAGAACGAATCTGTTGAGCAGCGAGAGACGGAAACAAACAGACATAATGAAACAGGACAATGCATGAACCACTTTTCATAATCCTCATCATCATTTGCAAAACAAATATGTTGCAGTGCTCCTGTTTCTATTCAAATCAGCTCATCAGTGAATAGATGCTCACAAAACAGACACAACAGACACAACAGACCTCCTGTTTATCTCCTGTTACTGCACAGTGGTGCTAGATGTAATTATTGATTTATCTATTAAATTCAAACGCTATTAAGAAATACACGATTTATATAGTTTTAATCCTTAATTAAATTTTCCTTTAATCCATCCCTCAACACTGTCAATTCTGCTTTTACTCAACCGCTTCACGTTGAGTGTCTTTGTTTTCACCTTTACCAAGATTTGTGTTTGAATAAAGAGCAGGGACGATATCACAGAGATTTGAAATAGAATGTTCATCGGTCAGGAAGGTGGAAAAAAAAAAAAATCAACCCTCACATGTACAGTGTGTTCATGATGGTCGGCAGCAATGTGAAGTTCACACCATTCGTAAGAAAGACCAAAATACACAAATGTTCTAAAAGAGATTTGAGTCATCTGTTCTCTCAGTTATAAAAACAACAAACAAGAGCCTCAGACAGGTTTTAAACAAACCCACTGGTTCACCAAAGGAATGTGAGCAGGGAAATTACCACTGAACTATTGTAAACATCACAAATAGAAAGTAGATCGTTTACTCTCCAGTTTCTTGTTTGGTTTCAGAAAATACAATGAATGAGAAAGAGGGATGGTGATAAGAGCAGAGTTAACTGTGATTCGACCAATCAGCAATTACAATAAAGTTTTTATCAGTGACAATATAGAAGAGAAATAAGGTTGAGTATCGTGCCCTCTTCACGAACTGACGTAATTTACAAACCTTGACCGAGGATGAAGAGACGAACAGTCATGTTGACAAAGATCCAGGAGAATCCTAGGAACTGCACGAGGTTGTACATGAACAAGTAGCCTCTCTTCAGACCCAGGTAGGCTGAAAGAAATAAAATAAAATAAACTTGCATGAAATAATGTAAATGACACAAACAGAATTCCTCCTGGAGGACACAAGATGTCGGTTCATCTATGAGGGCTTTTTTTTTAGAATTACTGAATGACTCACGATCTTTACGAACTCTCGACTCCACACTTATCTTGTTTATCTTCTCCTCCTCCTGCAAGAAATCACACGGTCATAAACCTTTTCTGGGAAACAACATTTGACTCTCTCTCTCTCTCTCTTTCTTCAGAGCAGTTTTGTTATTTTCTACCTTCGCCTGAAGCTCCATCTCAGCGTCAGACTCGTCGAGCCAGCGGTCGAAGTCGGGAGCCAGAAACAGAGGCTTCTTCTCCTGCAGCGTCAGCCGGTCCCACCAGCGCTCCTCCTGCTTCTTGATCTTGATGTCCACCTGACGCTGGGTGGACCTGTGGTTGATCTGCAGTCCGCCATGACAGACACACACAGATTTGAATACAGTTGATTCTTTTCAGCCACAGACTGTCTGTAACAGTGGACATTGAAAAGACACCTAACTTTCTGGTGTCTACTAATGACTCCATCAAGCCCTAAATTTGTCAGACTGCTTGTACCTGGAATAAAAACCTGCTGCTTTTTGTCTCCTCAATAAATTCACTGAGAGTAACGTCACTGAATATTTGTGTACCAGCAAATCAAGTCACACTTCTGCTCGAGGCGTTTCTCAATCAGCGCTCACCTTGACTTGACTGCAGCATTTTCTTGCTGGTACTTCTGCTCAATCAGCAGCGAGACGCACTGTAACTGTGGTTACTGAAATATTCCACTGAGGAATAAGATCAAATCACGAAACTAAGCTTGAATTTGTTAAAACATAAAACTAGACATGAATCAGGCTGGATTTTACTGCATTTTTAGTTAAATGCCATTATTTTAATCTTAGATATGTATTTCCGTTCATCCTAAAGAAAAGTTAGAGGCTGTTGGCTGAAAACATTCACGTCTTCACCTCAGCTGGCTCTGACATTTACTCGTCCCAACACCACTAGAATTTATCTTCGGAAGATAACACAATTAGACATAATACTGTTTAACAACAAAAATGTGAAATAGTTAAAATCAGACACTGTAGGGAATAAAATAGTCAGGAAATGTAGATTACATTACATCCATCATCTATTCCACTTGTCCTTTGAAGGGTCTATGTCAATCCCAGCTGGCTTGAGAGCGTGGGTCAGCACACGGAGACAAACAACCATTCACGCTAACACTCACACCTACGGTCAGCTCTCCAATTAATCCAAACACAACCTGGATGTCTTTGGAGAAAACTCACACAAACACAGACACAAGCAGAACATGCAAACTCATGCAAATGTTTAAAAAAAAAAAGATCACTACCTCAGCTCTGACAGGTTCCAGGAACTCCAAACTGAACTCATATTCATTGTCTCCTTTAGCTCCGTGGCCCTGTGCTGTGGAACAACATGAGGATGACACATGAATTTTTTTATAATAAAATCAGTTGTTTTTCTGAAAACTAAGTAAACTTAAACACAAACCTCTGAACTGAAGTGTGTTGTTTTCTTGCAGGCTGATGTCAAGATTCTGAAAAAATGAAAAACAAAGATGTTCATCGAAACCACGCGGATGCACACAATGGATTAGGTTTTATTCTGGTGACAGATACTTTTCTCATTGTCACCAAAGTACATAAACAGAGGATGTGTTTGGTTGAATACTTTCTGACGTCCCGGAGCAAGTTTTTTGGAGCAGGTTTTGACAGATGTTACATAAACTGAAGCAGAATAGTGTATTTGTTGGGGACTACTTTCAGCAGCGTATTAATTCAGGGCAGAGAATGTGGGATGAGTGATATAGAACCTCCCTATGGCTCACTGATGTGTTTTCAATGTTTTGATATTTTAATAAACTGCTAATGGACTCTGCTGAATTACACTGAGAGGAGATTCTTTTATTCAGCAGCTCCTCACTGATATAAATGGACCCAACATACTTAACGTGACAGCTGCTCTCCATCTCATAAGTGGCTCAACAAGATCCAGATCCACCATTAACAGTCATGCATCTTTTATGAGACATGAGTCCAACAGATGCAGGACGAGGATGGAGACGTCTGAACCTGTGCTTCATGTTACTGATGCAAACACTCAGCTGGTACGTTTAAATTAAAGAACCAAGAGACAGACGGAGGTGGAGACAAAACCCCCAAGAATCTCATGTTACAAACTTAATTACCCGTTTATAAATGAATTACTAACATTAATGACCACATACATGATTTACTGAAAACATGGCATCCTTTGTTAAAGACTCTCATAAGTATAGAATTGATGATTTGAGTTTTATATAATGAATTTCAATCCTTGCTGGAGGAAGATTTTCCACAACCTGGAAAAAGTAATCCATCCACAAATAGGAAAAAGATCAAATAACTATATTTCTTCATCATATTTCTTAATTTGGTTTTGTCTTTGTCTCCACCAGTACGTGAGAATAGAAGTATGTTCTATTGAATCATCAATAAATAATTAGTATTTTTGACATTTTAATTTAAACCAACTATTTTCTGATGTTGTTTTATAATAATAATAATACTACTAAGTTATGAAGCACTTTTCAAAATAAAGGCTTCAGGACTCAGGTAAACAAAGGACAGTTAGAATAATACAGGAAATAAGATAAGATGCAAATAAGAAAATAATAATAATAAAAACAATACATTCAGATATCTGCAGGTCTCTGTCATTTCTCAACAATATAACAGATATTAATATAGTTTTCTCTTATAACAATTAAAGATGAATTGTGTTTTATTTTAATCTGTAGTGACACCATCCACTTAGCTACCAGTCAAGCTAACAGCTAAGCTAACACCACAGAGGGTTTAACAAGCATTAATAACGGTGACACAGCGTTAAGTGGAATAAATACAATTAAACCAGGTTTAGGACACATTATTGTTTCCAGTGATGAGTCCGGGGACAGAGGCTGGAGGAAGCCCGGCCGATGGGAGCTGTCTGACGGGGGAGGGGGGAGGTGTCCTACCTTAGCATCGCTCAGTTCCACCCGGAGGAAGATGTCTCCGTGCCGCTGGGCCCAGTAAACATGAGGAGTCAGGATCTGCATCGTCACTGTCCGGTTACAAACATGACACGACACCGGGGGGAGATCTGCTCGACGTGCCCGGGAGAAGGTGCTCATCCGACGGACACACACACTCACACACACAACCACCAGCCTCCACACGCACAGGTGATGGAGCGGATTTCCGGGTTGGATGTCGCTCACGGACTTCAAAATAAAGATTCCCCCCAAAGAGCGACTTCAAAATAAAGTATGGAAGCCTGTTGATGTCAAGTTATAAAAAATCAATCGCCTGAATAAGCCACAGACTGTAAAATAAAGATGGATGACACGACAGGTTCAAGTCAAATTGTTTTGATTGCCCCCTGGTGGCTCCTCCATGCAGGAGCCATGCATCAAATTAAAAGCACATTTTTCTTAAAGGTGGTCTCCATCAGCCCCTGGTGGTTGACTTCAGTATAGCTCATATAAAACCCCACCACCTGCAAGTTAGTGGGACGGGAAACCAAACTGAAAGGGTAAATAAGTAGTTCTTAAAGATGGTTTCTGTCTTTTTAGGTTGTTCTTCCTGTTTGTACAAGTGTTAATGTTTCTTTTGAGATTGGTTTTAATTAGTTATTTGATTATTGTGTAGAAAACAAACAAGGCATGGATGGGGTTTCTCCAAACTTGGTGAGAATATGACATAGTATATTATCTTACACACACGTTTCTGTTGTTGATAACAGATTCAAACTAACTAACCAACCAGTAAAGTAGTTTTTGTGATTTTAAGCTATAAACGCTGTAAATACTGTACTTGCTCATGCCACTGCACATTTCTATGCAAACCACTGCAGTGAAAGATATATGTATGTACATGCTCAGTATATTGCTCAGATCATCATTCTAATTTCCTGCAGATTGATCAGTGATGAAAATAAGTTGTAGCCTCAAATTTAACTCAAAAACTTGGCACAGCTTCAAATTACGACGCACAGCTGGAGCACTCGAACGTCTCACGTTATAAAACTTGCACATTCACGTGCGGTGGGATTTTTCACGATTCGATGTCCGGGGTCGCTCCCGTCATTTTTCACGGTGTCACCGGCAGGAATCGGACTCACGGGCAGACCCACCGGTGAACCGCGGTTCTACCGAACACTTCACTTCCTCTATCGCCGGAAGGAGCGTCCACACCGCTGCACCGCCTCCTCCGATCAAAGTCCAGGCGGCGGTGCGTTCGGGGGCTGGAAGTGAAAGTTCAGCGGGTGAAAGGGCTGATCACAGCGGGCAGGTGACTCCCCCTGCACCCGCGGTTACCTCACAGTGTCCCGGTGAACGTTACCGAGCAGGCGAGTCTCCTGCAAACCGTCGACATGAGCGGAAAAGGCGAAGTTTCTCAGCCCGGAGCAGAAGAAAAAGAAGGAGAGAAGAGGAGGAGGAGGAGAATCATTAACGTGGTTTATCTCATCACTGCTGTGGACACGACTCTCATGTTTCTGCAGTTCTCTCTCACTCCTGTAAGTATTACACAATAAAACACTCATACATGGAAAACTCAGGTGTTATGTCAGCGCACAGAGTTGACATTTCCGAGCCAGCCGTGAACGTGAAGCTTGAAAAGCTGCAGGAAACATAAAGAAACTGAGATGAGTTCAATGATGATGCATTCAGAGCCTTCAACACCACGTACTAATAATACTGCACCACTAGTACATCACAGTACTTATATACACTTGTACACTTAAAGTCACGATAGTGGACAGTGCATTTAAATAAATGCACATTTGAGGTATTTGTACTTCTCAGCACTTTGTTTTTATGCCACTTCACACTCCTACACTCCCTGTCAGAGATATTTTATGTTTACTCCACTGCAGTTATTCTACACCTTTATCCGTATGTTTCTTCCCTCAGTCTGTTCTTTAGTTTGTGTGTTTGGAAGCAAGATTTACTTTTACTTTCTTCAACATTGCAAGATAAATCATTTTTAGAGCTACGTGCCGTACTGAACACCACTGTATGGTTTGCTAGTGTTTGCCTTCAATGCTTAATTTTTACCTTGTAATTATGTTTCGAAAGGTGCCTTATAAATAAAGTTTTATTATTATTACTATTATTATTTCACAGTTTTTGTTAATCTGGCAACAAACTCCACACACAGACAGAGTCGCCTAAATGTATGTGAATATGACTGTGTGTATTTTAACGTTTGTACTCTCATTGTGTGTCCGTGCAGTATTTGGCAAAGAAACTGGGCTTTGACACTTTATGGTTCGGTTATTTACAAACCACGGTGGGCGTCATTCAGCTGTTCGGGGGTCCAGTGTTTGGAAGGTAAGTGCAAAGCAATGTTGATGACACAAACAAAATGGATCCTATTCCTGATGAGTTTCCCGGATCATCATCACCAGCGTTGTGCAAGTGTTTTCTGAAAACTTTGTGTGTTTGTTCCTGTCGGCAGGTTTGCAGATCTCCACGGGGCACGAGCAGCTTTGTCTCTGGCCTTTGCCGCAACTGTTGTTTTCTTTCTGCTTCTCGCCATAGCCAGCAATCCATTGATGCTGTTCCTCCACAAGATCCCCACAGTCTTCATGCACGTCATGCCCGGTGAGCTCCACCCACCTGCAGTCGTCCTCGCTCATCTTCACATTTTAAACCTAGACTCAGTTCTCACGGGGCCCTGGGGCAAGTGTTTGCTGTAGGTTAGGTGTGACACCCTGAGTGAAAATATTAACATTTCGGTAACCTGACAATGAAGGTCCCAAACCAAATTTGTGTAGACTCAGGGCATGAAGCTTCTCAACTGTCACGGCGGTAGAGCACTGTTGCCTCAGAGCAAGGAGGTTTGCGGCTTGAATCCTGGTTCGTCTAGTCTTTCTGTGAGGTGTTTTCATGTTGTCTCTGTGTCTCTGTCTTCGTCCCTCTGTACAAAGACGTGCAGATTGTCGTAAGTTTTAATGGAGACTCACAGTGAGAGTGAGTGGTTGTGTGTTGGCCCTGTGTGTACATTTTACTACCACTACTACCTTTGCTTCAAAGTCGTACTCAGTGTTTGACAACTGTGAAACATTTCATTATATCTGACTTGAATTCATCAAAGTAGTTCAAAGTAGATGCAGTTTCACTTGGTTGCATTATTTTCCTCCTTCCTTCGTCTGCAGCGTCTCAGATGGTCATCACGGATCTTTCCCAACCTGAAAAACAGGCGGATGGTTTATCAAAACTAGGTCTGAGTTTTGGCATCGGTATGATCGTCGGCTCCACGTTGGGCGGACAGCTCAACACGCGCTATGGGTGAGTGACACCGTGCAGCAACCTTCAGACGTGAACGGACGTCTGAAGCATAAGGAGGAGTCAGTTCTCCTGCCAGCCCCCTCGTGGAGCTGTTTTCTCTTCAAACACTTCATCAGATCATTTCAATGATTTAAAAAAATGTACTGCTTCAACTAAACATGGTGATGATGGTGACAGATGTTGAATTTTACCACGATTCCTCCTCCTGACTCTGCTTCCACTTGGTTTTTCCCAGGGAGACGTTCACTGCATGTTTTGGTGCAGTGGGAAGTTTCTTCACTTTACTGCTGGTTTTAAAGTTTATCCCCGAAACAACCAAAGATCAAGCTTCAAGAAGCAGCACCAAAAGTGAGACACGTTTCCTCCTGCAGCATCTCAGCATCTCCTCAGCTGAGTGTGGACCATTTTAATATGCTGGTTGAGAACAGGTTTATTTGAAAAGAATACGACAGTTATATTGTTATTAATTTAGGCTCAGGGTGCGCTTCACACTACTTGCTTTTTCATATCTGCCTTTATTGATTGGTTAATTGGTTCACTTAAAAAAGTAATTGGCTGATTAATAATTAATGAAAATAACTTATAAATGTTTTGATGTCAGTCTAAGCCTTAGATTTGTTTATAGGAAGCCTCAAAGCACTTTTACAGCAAGTCACAATGTCCAAGAGGACAAAACACATCAAGCCGTCCCCAGGAGACAAATGATTTTGTGAACGTGAACAAAATGCACATGAATTACTAGAAGGGCTCCGGGAGAGCACCTCTGTTTATTCACATATTTCACTCGTCGTGGTCATTTGACTGTTGGAGACTTAATAACCTGGCAGGTGTTGGTTTGTGTGTTTTACATCAGTTTGTCTTTGCAGGCGACGACAAAAACAAGTCATTATTTAATCTGGGAGAAATCACAAGACTGATGAAGTTTCCAGGAGTCACTCTGACTTTTGTCGTGAAGATAGTCGCAGGTTTACCATCAGGTGAGAGTCACTGATTTTAAAGTTTTTAAAGAAAATCTCTGTATTTACTTTAACACATTTCACCCTAGATTTGAATGACATGTTTAATTTGTTTACAGACATTATTATTATATTATTATTATAACACCAATGCTCTGTTCAGTCTGTGGCTTTCCTTTTTGCAAACATTAAAATACATGAATTCACTTTTATAATGAATATTTAAATGCAGCACTCTTTGATTCACAGTTTAATAGAAATAACAAATTCAATGTCATCAAAACTCTGTATCTTAAAACATTAGGAATGGCTTCTTTCTGTCCATAGGGATTTTTCAAGTCATGTTTTCGATCATTGCGTTGGACTTCTTCAAGCTGCTGCCGGAGCAGAATGGCTACATGATGGCCTACTTCGGCATCTTACAAATGGTTGGTGTCAAACTGAAATCAGCGACGGGTCGACTCGATAATAATTCCGGTGCTTTGTGTGATTCGTGCAGCCGCTGACGACAGACTGCGATGTTTGTTTCAGGTTATCCAGGGGGCAGTGCTCGGTCCTCTTACGATGAGATACTCTGAGAGGTCGCTGCTGCTGGTGTCCATCGGACTCTCTGCTTTAGTCGGGCTGGCTCAGGTAAACACACAGAAACACACCGTGACATCGTCAAGTTCGGCACTGGCTCATTTTCTTATCTTAAAACAACCGTGTGTTTCAGAAAAGAAAACGTTCTCTGTTCATTTTTATAGTTTGAATTTTAATTTGAACACCTGTAATAACCCAGACTTGCATCCCCTGCTACTGTGTTGGTCTTTCTGTCTGTCTGCAGGTTTACATTGAGAGTGTGTTCCAATTCTGCCTCAACGTCATCCCCATGATGTTGTCTCTCAGTATATTTAACGTCATCACGAACACCATGCTCACCAAGAGCGTACCGTCGTCCGACACAGGTGACGTCCTCCCGCACCGCGCACAACCGACAGTACTGACACACTTCCACTCATCAGATTACAACTAAACATTCAAATCACTGACGGGTGTGAAAATAGCTCATTTAAAGCAACACTTTCTCATTTTTACTGAACAACAGCGCCCCCTGCAGCCCAGTACCCATGATCCCCGGGTTCCTGAGCTGCGTCTGTAACAAATCCACCAAACTCTGCTTAGAATTCTTCATATTTTAAAAGATTCCTGCTGAATATTAGAGATAAACTCTTTTTAACTGATCTAGACCTCAGCTTCACTCTTCATCTTGCTCGACCTGATTCTGACGGTTGAAGCTGTGACTCTCAGTCAGTTCCTCACTTCTCACAGGAGATCAACCAACTCCAACCAAAGTTACATAGATCAGACGTTCAGGGAATGAGAGAGGAAACGTTCTCCATATTCACACTCACTGAATCATCAAACTCATTTTAATTAAGCTGGAAATTTAAGGTAAAAAAAAAGTGTTGTCTCAAAATAGAGACTCAACAAATAAGAGTTAATTTTCAAAATGCACATTACAAAGTACTAATGTGCTCTTATTCACAGGCACAATGCTCGGGCTGTGTGCATCTACTCAAAATCTGCTCCGCACGGTCGGCCCGACTGCCGGCGGCTTCCTGTATGTGAACTACGGCATATCAGCGATGGGCCTCATCCAGTTTATTGTGAATTCTGCAGTTCTTGTTTTTCTGATGTATCGTGGGATCCAGAAGACAACGGTGCAAAAGGACTAAAATAAATGAGTTGTTTTTAAAAGCTATTCTCCAAACCCTCCAAAGAGAAGGGATGGAATCTGTATTTGATTTTAGGAACAGTTGTTACGGTATATTTATACTCAAACACTCTGCTGCAGTTGTTGCATGATGTGACTTGTTGTTAAAACGTGTGTTTGAGGCTCAGGATCAAACCACTAGATGGCAGCAAACCTCCTATTTTACCTGATGGTTTTATTTTCCAGAGTTCATCTTGAACACAGAGACAATCAAAAAAATCCTTCTATTAAAATTATAATACAATCATATATAATGTGGAGATTTTATTATGGATCATTAAATATAATTATATAATCGTGACATTTGTAAAGATGTTTATTTTCTCTTGTTGTTTTTCAATGAACATTTAAATAATTCATTCATTCATTTGAAGACGGCAAAGTTTAACTGATTTCTCTGTCGACACTAGAATCATTCATCACTTTGGATTTACTTTCGAATAACAATGTGTATTTCTGTATTGATTTAGATCGGTAACTTTATTCAGATTCAAAACTAGTGGAAAGTTACTCAAATACTTCAAACACTCCAGTACACACGTTTCTGCTGCTTTATAATTCTGCTCCATCACATTTCAAGGAGAAATTAAGATTTTTTTTTTACTGCCCCTACATTCATCTGATCTGAAGATGAGATTGGTTTTCTCAATGAGTTTTCAGCAGCTTCACCAAAGACAGAATTCATCTTTAAAGTTCACAGATGGTTTCATTAAATAGCTCAAAGGTGGAATATTTGATATTTCAGAAACAACAGAGACGAGAGAAAAATCCAGAAGACATGAATAGAAATGTGTTTTCTTTTTTACTTCCATTAATCATGTCGTGGCCTGTCACATTTATCCCGTGATCTCCGGAGGGATCCTGAACCCCATGTTGGAAACCACTGGATTAAACTATGTATAGTAACGGAAGAGTCAAAACTTTTTGTTTCTGAGTTGGTCAAGTATGTGTATCGTCAAAATGTCATTACCATGTCTCCATCCCCTGATACTGCACAGATTCTGGCTTCAAATGACATTAAAAACCCAAGACGGCGTATTCCAGGATATTTCAGTTTCATTTCTCTACAGCAGAAGGAAGTGGAAAAACATCCTCCATCTTTATTTACAGTCCTTGTGCATTGATCTATAACAAGCTCTATTGTTCGAGTACTTTTTCCTTTGATACAGAAAGTACATTTTGTTTATCAGTTTGTACTTTCACTATATGAGATTTTAAATGCAGTACTTTAGAGTTTAAAAGTACTTTTTGATTGTTTTATTTGCAGTAATACTCGAGAAAAGAATCCTAATCCAATCTCGAACCACCGGTCCGCACACACATTCAACAACCCCGACATGTTTGAAAAAGAATTAAATCACAATATGCATAAAACCATTGTACTGTGAGGATGAACAAATCCTTTAGAGGTAATCACTGTTGCTATCTGTCACATTCATACACTTCTCTGTTCTACCTCAGTTGCTAAGCTGTGGGAGTGATGTCACCCAATCTGCAGCAGGTGTTTTCATTGTTTCTACAAAATACTCTGTTTTTTTCAAATATTAACATCCAACAATCCCAGATAAATATGATCTTATCTGAGCAGCAGGGGGTCGGCAGTGTTCAGTAGCAATAATCGAGCAGACGACACCTTCAACAGATGTCACTGCTGGGGTTGATGCAACTGATCGCACCATCAGGACCGAGATATTTACAATTAAAGATTTATTTATTATAGCATCGATGTCTATTCGGTATTTTTCAAAATTCCATGTTAGTTTCTCATTCAGTCAAAAATGGAAGAAGACAGAAAGTGTGTTTTTTACATGAACCTCAGAGATTTTGAAGCAAAGTGTTCATCCGTAGCTTTTTGCTGTTGTATAATATATCACCAAATTAAGATTATTTTACTGTCAGACTCTTTATGTGAAATTTGATTTAAATTCAGTAAATGTAACTATTAGATTCCAAAATCCTCTCAAAAGTTAATGTTTTAACCGATTAGTTGAAGAGTAAGAAATGTCTGCAGGGTCATTTTTTTGAGAGAGGAGGGATTTCTATCTCCTCAATTTCCAAATTCTAATTTAATTTCAAAATGTGAAAAGTCAGAGCGAGCGTATAGGAGGAAAGCATTCTCAGCTCGCTGTCGGCCTGTTCAGTCGGACTGCACCTTTAATGTGATCAGCCGTCTCACTGGCAATCCCATCATCTGAGCCTGATCCCACACCTCACTCATTACTCGCTGCTCCGACCGATACTGTCTCCAAAACACATATTTAATTCAGGTTGGATCAGCTCCACAGACACTTCACTCTGAGCGCACAGAAAACAGAATAGAATAACAGGCACTTCCTCTTGAATTCCTCTATCTCAGTTTCTCCGTCTGACTCGAAGAGAATTGCAGAAGGATCTGAAGGCTGTCACTGTATCTGTGGCCCCGGGGGGGCGGCCCCGGCCGCTGGAGGGGGTGCCCTGTTACACTTGGGCCTTTGAGTGGTGGGGAGCCGGGACAATGCTGTTGTTAACACTCCTGACGGGGACCTTTGGGTCCTCTGAAAGTTTAATGTGACTCTGTGAGCGACCTGCGCTCGCTGAGGTCAGAGATGAGCGCTGCCCGGCGATGGTCCAACGTTGCCTTGTGTCGGTGCATTGGAAACTAAACGCCGGCGTCGAGGGGGGGGGGCATCGAGTCCTGGCCTGGTTTTGTCTCCTGTGGCATCGATAATGAGGCGTCTGTCTCCACCTGCTGCACGGAGAGATGAGGCTCACTGTCTCACAGGTTATCTTTCTGATTTGTCCAACGCAGCCAGGGACACGAAGCAGAGGAGACTTCAGTCTAAATGTTTTATAACATGGCTTCCTTGTTTCCTCTGTGCCACACACACACTTTTTGTACTTCTGTCTAAGCGAGGACATTCCCTAGCCCCTTACCTTAACCTTAACTAAAAGCCTAAATCTAAATTAAACCTAACTCAACAAACCTAAAGCTAATTCAAACCCTAAAACCAAGTCTTAACCCTCAAACAGCCCTTTGAAAAAGTGAAGCCAAAACGTCACTTATAGGGTCTATGCTTAAAATGATCCTCACGAAGGAACAAGTACAGAAACTGTTTTAATCCTTCTGTAGAAACATGACGATTCATGTTAAACCACAGATTGCCACACGGCTGATTCTTGCTCAGAAATAAGAGGTTCATGTGGCCGCACAGTCCCCCCCCACCCCCCCACCCCCGTCCTGTGGGCCTCGTGGAGTTGGCGGAGTTGGCCGCAGGAATGAAAGGTGATCTTCGGGGGGTTTTGTCTTGGTGTAATCAGACAGCGACATCATCAATCATGAGGGGGGAATTACAGCGGGCGACAATGGGAGATAAGATAATGAGTGGGGCCACAGCGACCTGGTGAGGGACAGCTCGAGTTCCCGTCCTGATTACATGCGCAGGCCCGACTGGCGGCAAAACCGCTGGGGAGGCTGGACGCACAAATCCAAAGTGAACGAAAAAAAATGTTTGAGTCGAGTCAAAGCGTAGTGAAGGTAGCAAAGAACTGCTTGTAATTTCTACTGGTGTTCATAATCATCCAGCGTTAATGTCTAGTTGATTAACTCGCACCGACGCGGAGGAGTCGAACTGTTCCCGTCGATCGGAAACATGCTGCAACATTAGGACACGATCACACACAAAGTGTATGATGGGTAGGTATTCCTGAGGCCCTAATATACAACGTTAAAGGTTACATTGCCCTCAGAAGGGTTCCTCCTCTGGGGAACATTAATGTGCTCAGCAAACTTAAGGGAACTTTTCCTTTTTGTGTTATTTTACGGTGGCACTAGAGCACAGACCACAACGGAACCACAAACACCAGGGAGCCAAGAGCCCACAGTCCAAGTTGTTGCACCAAATTTCACACACACTCATAGATTCACAGTTCGTTCCTTCAGGATTTTCAACTCTTGACCGATTTTAAAAACACGGGAGACAGCTAATGACCGATTTGACCGATTTGACGATTCGAGATGGAGGAGGCTCTGACTCAATCGGTGGCATTAAGATTATTTTATAAACCCCTCACACTTCATTTCCTGTCTGCTCTGTATCTGTGGTATCACATCTGAACAGACAGTCCCTCCTCTTCCTCGGTATCTGTATCCTCAGACACCTGCTCTGACCAGAATGCTCCGGTCCACACTCTCACTCCCTGACATGTGCCGCTGCTCACTAATCCCCCAGTGACGCCTCCCCGCAGCATCGCACTCGACAACAAAACAATGAGTGACCACTGCGCTGACCTCGGAGGGCAGCAGGCTCTCGCTCCATCAGACGGAATCTCTTTTACTTTTCTGTACCCCTCAGCTAATACACAGGAGCTGCCGCAGATGATCTCATAACAAACCCGGAGACGTGCTGTTTATCGTGCACTGTGAATGCTGCTGCACGAATTGTTTTCCTCAGGATTAGGACAGTTGGAGATTTTAATGTTTGAAGCTTATATGAAAAGAGAGGATGTGGATATCAGTTTAATTAGGACTGAGCCGATTAGATAACAATATGATGCATTTAAAAGGCGGGAAAAAGTGCGCCAGGGGAGGCATCTGTTTGACTGTAAGCTCTGCATGTTGTTAGCATGACTCATATGGAGCAGCATCTGTGTCCTGCGAGGAATAATTGGGACCATTATCGGTCATATTGTTCAGCTAAGTTCATCATGTGTGACACAACCAGGACTTCATGCACCAGTCTGAGTTGTTAACAATCCATCGAGTGAACGTTCAGAGGTGGACCGACTCTTTGGGATCTGGAGCATCTGGAGAGCTCAGTCTGAGAAGTCGAATTATCAAAACTTTCATTCAGTAAAACTCTGATTTATATTTGATTGATGTTTCATTTATCAAAGATTTCCTGAATGAATCATTTGACCCGAGAGTGAGTTCTGATTCTATCCATTTCTATTGCAGACAAAATCCAGATGTTAGTGAGTGTTGAGGGTTTTCTGACCATTAGTAAAGAGGATTTATCGTCTTCATTGTGACTCTAGACTAATGGGGTTCTAACAGATCCTGCAACAGAACCTGGTGCTGTTGAAAGCTCTTGAATTAAACACGTCTACATGTGTCACTGATCATATTTGGGCCTTGAACTCAAAAGAAAAGGACAAACTCACTCACTATGCAGACGACATGCTACTTTCAAGTGGAATGTTACATGAGCACACGTGTGATATTTACTCAGCCATTGATTTCCTCACACTGATTATTTGGATGGCAGATGGTGGGTGGGTGTTAATCCCAGCTGCCCATTGGCCTGACCCTTTGCACTCCACCCACCTCTTCC